AAATTTAACCCAGCTGCATTCACACGTGCACATTTGTTCCGGCGTAGCGTCGCAAACGAGCATTTGCTCTGGAGCAAATTTTTAAACCACCTCCCTGAGGTGGATCAAATTTGGTCCGGTATAATCTCTTTGGTGGAGCTACGTCGGAGCAAATGTGCACGTGTGAACGCTCGACTGGATCTGTTTCGGCGCAGCGTCGGACCAAACGTTGCCGTGTGAACGGGGCTACTGTTAGCTTGCTGCGCTTCACTTGCAAAATTAATGTGTCATCATCACCTGCTACATGACCAGTTCGGGTTCTTTTTGGGCCATTTTGTGGGTTCAACAGTTTTCAACCTTATTGTGTCCCCAATTCAGTTGAATGTGCTTATTCATTTCTGATTAGACAGCCCATACCTTGTTAGTGCACGAATTTTTACTCACGCCCATGTTAGACCTCTTTTGCCATCATGCGGAAGGGTCGTAGCATAGTAATTACCTTTTGTTTTCTTCCCATTCTAAATTCGCAATTCGATATGATTATAGGATGACGCTGTGTTGATGTTGTCATCTATGTAATAATTGTGATAAGGCAAGCCAAAATGTCAAAAAAACAAGTCAAGCTAGCCGTCACGCCACCATGTCAGTAAACTTCAAAATAAAAGCCTCCCCCAGTTTGTTGCATTGGTGTCAATGTATTATTTCCATCCATCCATTATGCAAACCGCTTTTAGCTAATGTATTCTTGAGTAAACCTTTATTTTTGAAGTTAGCTTTTGTGTTCGTGGTGTGTTATATTATGACTTATGAGTATGTTTGCAGCTTCATTGAGATGTCTCAATGACACCGGACTGTCACCAGAGACGGAAAAAAACAAAGTCCTCTTTCCTTTTTATGAGGGGGGGCGGGGGGCGGAGGGGGGTATCCGAATTATTGATGGAGTCGTATGAGTTACACAAAGACCAAGAGAGAAACAGAACAAGAGATGTTACGGTGAGCTCATGTGAGGTCTACAAAAAGTCCCGGTACGTTAGAGGCCTACATGCTGGTATTCCGTACCATTGCGTCATGGCCTGCTCAAAAGAGTGATTATGGCCCTTAATACATGAATAGACAGAGCTCAGCTACACACTACTTATTACATCGATTATGCAGAGTAACGAGATCTAAGGGAGTGTCCGTAGCTCTCATGGCATTAACTCTATCGCTGCCATCCCTCCAAGTTTTGTGCTATTGATATAGATGCCTGTCAACATCAGTGAATGACTTCAAAACCAAAAAATAAAAAATAAATAGAGACTCCCTCGTATCATCGTTTGTGAAACTTGTCATTCGATTACAAAGCAGCCAGTCATATCCCTGTTGTATACCTCACCATGGTACGTATAAAGAATTTAAAGTTGTGTATATTCACAAATAAATAAATCAATAAATACTGTAGCTAAGGTAGATAGGTCATTTGGTCTGTCATTTGATAAGTAGCCTGTGTGCTAAAAAAAAAAAGTGTGGGCACCCGTGGTCTATAATACTTTTGTTCAAAGGAAAATTACAACATATTTGGGGAGAAATGGGGACGTCATGGAGTGTTTTGTGTGCCCTGTAAATTTCCAAGCCACACTGCCCGGATTAAACTGTGTTTTTCTCTCATGTGATGCAAGTTTGTTCCTGGACAGAGCGTGTTGGAATAACGTTTGAATACCGTGTGCATCAGAACAGAAAAAAAGGAGCCAAACCTGTGATTTGTTTGAGTTAATTGACAGGAAATGTGACCTTCCGAAATTCAGAGATCGGAGGATAATGAAGCAGTGCACAAAGAGAATTTTTTTTTTCTGACAACGCATTTATTCACTGGCTGCATGTCTATGCCTTCCATTATGTGCTAATCAGTCTGTGACAGACACGTGCTCAAAGCCCCGTAATAACGCTTCACAGTCGATACTGAGTCACCATACTAATTGCAGACAACAAATTGGAGTTTAAGATGTTATTCACCGCGCAACACTGAGAGAGTTCAGCGAAGAAAAAGGACTTTTCTGTGCGTGAGATGTGTTTTTTCATCGTGGACTTGGTATAATCGGTGTCAAATGGTTGCTGAAGTGAACTTTGTAAGCGATGGATGTGGCTCTACTGAGCTCATCTTGTACTGGGCTTACACATGAAACGAGGGGCAGAGAAGTTGAGAAAATCCATAAAACATTCATATGAAGATGACATGGAAAATGACAAACCTTTGACTCTTCAGTGACTTCAACATGCAGCGTATAAAAATGTTAAGTCTGCAGAAGGAAATATCGCTGTCAAAGCACCCTATTTTTTCAACAAAACTTTGAGCAAACTTTCAGGTCACGGTTAAATGAGCCATATACTACACTGGCAAGCTGAAAATTTATGTGTGTTGAAAATTTAAATCAGAGCATCAAAGTAGAATGCAAATGTATGTAAGCGACCATACATAAAAATAGTTCAACCTTCACTGCAGTACTTTTACCCCTTTCATGTTTGAAATCTATTGCTCGGCGCATTTTCAGCATGAACTTAAGCGTGTATTTTTAGATTTCACTTTCCACGGTCCATGTAGCATGGTGGATTGTGTCGCCTGTGCAGGATGAGGTAAAGCGGAGTCTTCCATGCAGAGCCCAAAGCCTCTTAGTTTCCCAATGTAGCATATGCTTTGCAGGGGTCACTGTAACATCCGGAGAGCGCTGGGAGGGTTGGGCGGATGGGGTGAAAGGTTCGGGGCCGTGTTCAGAACGAAGATTATTATAAAGCCTCCTCCTCCTCCTCCTCCTCATCTCGTGCTTGTTGGTTTATCATTATAATGAATTGTCAGTTCCTCCTTCCGTCTCAACACATAAAATTTTCATCAAAGTCTGTCTTTGCATGCAGCCATCTGCCATGCCTCAGCGTCTCACTGGTAATTAGCTGAAGCCAGATGACGGTTATACCCCCCCACCCCCACCCCTCCCAATGCTACCTTTGACCCCTTCTATTGCAATAACACAAAGTAGATGCTGCCGACCATTGCAGTTAGTTTGATTTGGCTTGCATCACAGTTGAACTTACGAGCTACACGTGTGTGACGCACAAGGTAAAAGAAGGGACGTGTATCATCTCCTCTGCACAAATTCGGTGGGGTGCTGCACACCTCCCATTCCATCCACTTCCTCCCTTGCCACCTATGCTGTGAGGACTCCTTTGGGAGCTCATTTAAAATATCCATCCGAGAAATCATATCTCCAGCCACTTCATTCTTCTGCCGCTGCGTGTCGTGGCTCAGGTTCACTCAAGTGCCACGCTCGCATCTGTGCGTACCCGGAGAAACAGGTGCCGCGTTGTTGTGGGCAACCGAGAGAGAGGAACTCCCAGTTGAAAATGCAGACAGTTTTGGCGGGGAAAGTGTGACCTCCTAATGACGCTTGATGTCGGGAGTTGGGTGATCGTCAGGGAAACTGGCTGGCGTCATCTGTAGTTTTCTGAGAGGAATTTAACGACATTGTGGAGTGAAGCTTGTTGTGACATGCTGTCACACAACAGAGCTTTGCGTAGTAGTAGCAAGCAGCAAACCACAAATGCAAAGACTTGGTGTGTTTATAAATGAAATATAAGTTGTTCCCCACTTATTAAAGCCTAGCTTCGGTACAAAAAAAACAAAAAAAATGCTTTGTGCATTTTTTCTATTTTATGGCTGCATATTTTATCTTCTGTATATCGCGGATTTTTGCCTTTTGTTTGACTTGGCAGATCTGGACCATATAGCCTGCAATTTTTTTCGAAGTTGCACATTCCAAAATTGATATTTTTCCAAAGGCAAGAACAAAATGCAAAGAATTATTCCAGGATTTTAAAAAAATGTTTGTCTTAATTTGAGCACCCAGCTCAACAATTCACTAATAAAAAGCCAAACAAAACATCACCCAGCATCATTTGTCTATTTTATTTTTACAAAAGAGAGGAAATGCATTTTATTGGGTGATACTTTTCAAAGTACAGATGCTTCTGGAGTAGTCCTAACCATGTACTGCCCTCTTGTCTCTCTCCTCTCCCTTTCCCTTAGCCTCCTTTGGAAATTTCTCTTAGCTCATCGTGTGGTCCATTTGGCAGCCCTTGCCCTCAGCCCCTAACACAAAAACTCCAGGAGCCACGGAGATGCTGCCTTCACATTTGCGATGGAGAATCAAGACGAGGAAAAGCCTGTTGACAACATGCCAACTAATCTCCGGGATTCTCATTCAACACTGGTTCACCAGACCTCCGGATAAGACACAAAGCCTCGTTCAAGGCCGGGATAGCAACTTTAGCGTAGCGATAACGAGGTGATCATCTACGTCTGAAACTGGTTTAGGTCTTAATAGCAATTCCATCCTTGTATAGGCTGTCTCATTTGAATATGGGCTGTATTGGGTACACCAGTTCAAAATGAGATCCAATACAAGAGTTGGATCAAAACTTCTGCTTTTACAGCTAATAATTTGAGGGTGTCAATTAGAACTGAGCATTATTTTGAAGCGCAAATGTCTACTTAATCGTCATGGCGGTGTGGTGAAGGTTGTAGTTGGTGAGTATTTTTTTTTTAATTAATTTTAACTTTTGTGTATATATACCAATCCATCACTCGTGCGTATTTTCCTCTCAGGATTTGAGATCGCTGGTGGATGACTAATAGCAGATACTATCATCAGACGTTTTATATTGTGATTGAATTAGGGTAGATTAACTGTGCAGCCAGACAGCATATACAGTACATTTGAGAATTGTAAAATAACATGCAATGTACTGGTAAGCAAGTGTCTTCTCACAGAAGCTTGGCGGGGTTTTTTTTGTTCCCCCCACCCATGGGGCAAATCCCCAAGGACATCCAAGTGTAATGTGATGATCTCGCTGTCTACGCTTGATCAAGCAATAATTTAAATGTAATTACACCATGAGGACGAGCTGTTAGAGCTAAGTAAGACATATTGAAAGGCGTTATTTTGTAGTCTGTGTGCTGAGGAGAATGCCGATTATGCTTTGCCCATTATAGAGGCAGCATTTTACTGCCTTGCACTGTTGTTCAGGAGCATTAGTGGAAGTCATCACCCTAACAAACAATACGACAAAGCCCAAATGTATTTTAACACATCGCTATCCCCATGTGACACTGTGATTTCAAAAGCTACAAAATCGTGTAATACTGTGACAGCTACAGATCCCCAAGTTGATTCGAGTGAGCGCATTTGACGTCAGTGTTAGGCGCAGATATCTCTGTAAGCTGATGAGGATGCTACATTTGCATACATCAAGAGACAAACTTCCAACAAATAACACTGCAGACAACTTCCCTCCATCTGGCGCTTCAGAGCCAGATGCACCAAACTGCAAGAGACTGACTGTTAAAAGGGTGATTACCTACTGTGGGTTCGCTGAAGTACCTGATCATTGGTGTGTGTTTAGGTATAGAAAAGATGTAAGCAAAATAAAAGATTACTTTTTTTAATAAACTGTAATAAACTACTCAAGTCAAAAAAACTCTCTCTGTCTCTCTCTGTTGAACAAATGTTGGTCTCTTGCTCCACTCTTATTTGAATTGTTATATAATGTTTTGGTATATAAGTTAAAAAGAAATATAATGATCACTCAACAATGATGAAAATTCGGTTGGATGGTTCATTGGTATGCAGTCAGAGCTACCAAGGCCTTCTCTGCTGGCCTAAACACTGAGAAGCACTGACCTACATTTACAACAAACATGAAATTGTATCGATTTGTTCCCAACTGTCGTTTATCTTCATTTATCTTCAGCTTCCAGTAATGTATGTTTTCTATTATTATTATTTTTCTGTCCAAATAGATTTCGGCTTCTATGTGTTGCTGTGTCATCTACCCGAGGCCTTCACAATCAGGAGTGCTGGCCCGTTTTAAACTGCACAGACGCTACAACCAACGGCTGTTGTTTTTAATCAAGCAGATTTCAGATTCACCACTCTTGGCATTCGCGAAATCGGCATGTTTCCATCCTCTTACCGAATGATCAGAGCTATTTCGTCTTACAATTCGGGCAATGGGTAATGGAGAACAATGAATACCGAACATTATTGTTTGGTTAATGCTGGTAATCAGATGCTAAGAACACATCAGGAACAGGAAGACTCAGGAGGCAGGCATAGTTGTCTTTCTTGCAAGAGAGAGCGCGCTAAAACATGTCTCGGTTCACAATCTCAAAGCAGCTCTCCAGCTGGCTCTGCAATGTAAACCGTTACAGGTTCCGGGGCAACTCTGAAGAGTGCGCGTTTGTCTCCTTGCATTTATTGGAAGGATGTCCCTGATACACGATCTTCTAACGGGAGTGGGGAGTATTTTCACATTCCACAACAGTTTCAGTAAAGAAGAGTTTCAATGAGAACACACAGTTCATTTCTGAGATGTCGTCAAACGGCTCCTGCTGGATGTCGATGGTTCACGTACACAGCTTGGGATGTCCCTCACACGGTGTCCTGGGGTTGATGTTATCTTCTCATAAGCAACAGTTAATTTGACCAGAAGCCGTTCACTTAACAACAAGATATTGTCTTAAAAGCTAGAACAGGAGCAGCCTGAGCTCTCCCGGTCTGACAAGTCTACCATTATCAACCTACCCCATTGTATATGAGGTATTTGCGAGGTATCACTCTGTAACAGGTTTTAAAGTTACACAGAGAGTAAATATGGGATAACAGAATTACATTTATTCCAACAATTATTAAAAATACATTTTCAAGGCAGTCTTTAAAAAAAGAAAAAAAAACCCTGAACATTGAGAGAAAAGTATGGCCTGAGTGTGTAGAAAGTTTTCATTTTTCAATTTTTAAAACCCACAATTGATTTAAATAAGATGCAAAAAAATGTTCTCTCACATCAAAATGCATTATTTTATCTCATCGTAGGTCTGGTAATCGCTAATTTTACTCCCTTAGAGGAGACATGTTTTGCTGCCATCTTTCTGCTCTGTTGGGTTGCCACCAATCAGATCTGGAAATAAGGGGCACTCCTAACGCCATCACGTCAAAACCAAGTGGGCAAAAGAAATATGAGGGTTTGGCTCCCCAAAGCCCTGAAATGCATAGAATAACATGCATTTTTTTTAAATGAAAAAACAAAATGCTTTGATTTAATTGATATTATTTAATATGCCATAGTAGCTTGTGGGCCCTGGAGTCATTTGGTTTAAAGTGCTTGATAGCAATGAGCATTGTTATTTTTTATAGACTGGAGGGTCAGTAAGGAAGGAAAATTCAAGGAAGCATTTTAGAGGCACTTAAAGTTTAAAGTGCTTTATAGCAATGAGCATTGTTATTTTTTATAGACTGGAGTAGCCTGAACCTGAGCATACATAGCCTATGGGCTCTTAAAAAGTGCTGCAAATTAAACTAAGATTGGCAGTGTAACACTTTTAACAATTAGGAAACACTTAAATTGCCTGAATTTGAGCATACTGTATATGTTGTTGATGGCACACTCGACACTGAAGTATTGGACAACAAGGGGAAACATCTTCCTGTTGCCTTGATTCAAGGCATCTGTCTGTGTGGAGAATGGGAGGGGTGATTTTAAGGTCTTAAAAACATCACCCACTGCCTGTGGAGCCAGGACGTCTTTTAACAGTGCCTTTTTTTGTCCCCAAGTGCATTTTCTTTATAATTTTGGAATCTTGGAGAATCTTTTGCTTGAGCTTGTGTGCACAGTTAGCACTGTTGTAGCTCAGATTACGTTTTACTGTGTGGTATACCTGTGTCAGATCAACTGCTGGAAATTAGAAGGGAGGAGTGGGATGATGTCAGAGTATGACTTTCATATTGTTGACTTAACACGATTATTACACTATTGTTCATAATTATTAATATTTTATAAAAATTACTAGTGTAGCACTGTTATTTAATTATCAATTATTTATCTATTTATCTGTCTGTCTATTTACTCTTACTTCACAGTTTGCTTTATAGTCCGATGAAAAATTTGCCTGACCACTGACGACAGCATTTATAAATTATGCACTGCACTTACTTCTTCACTTGAGGAATACTTGATGTTGTTTGTGTTGTGAAATTTTGCTCGCACCGCTGCTAAAGACCTTGGTGAAGTCTGGTCTGGTGTGTGTGTGTGCGCGCTTCTTAGAACTTGCATTCTATTAGTTTACCACTAGATGGCATTGAAAGTCGAAAATTTCTACACGCTGTCCCCTGATGGACTTCCAGATTCACATTTAATGTGTGTGAAAACTACCTCGCTGTGACTACACAGTTGGCTGGTTAACCAACTCTGTACGAGGAGCGAAAAAGAGGACGGATTTTGAGATCTATAAATATTCAGATGTATTTTATTTAAACATTTTATATTTTGTGTGGTGTTATTGGCTACATATTAATTGTCAACTGCTCCAAATGTTTTTGTAGTCGAGAGCAGTGATTCCCAACCTTTATTGAGACACAGCACATATTTTAAGTTTGATAAATTGCAGGGCACACCACCATACAAAATTGTCACAGAAAGAGGATACATTTGTCAATTTCATACTATATTCCATCGAATGGAAGATCATGTATTTCTCCTTTCTGTCACTATAAATTGCTGGCATAGGTAGATGGACAAAGATACAATATTTGTTATTAATAAATCATCTCACCAATTAAGTGAAATTTGATAACTTCCCATAGTACACCGTTACAGTTCTCACGGAAAGATGTTAGGAATCATTGGTCCAGAGGTTAGGAAGATAAAGGGTTAACTATGTGTCTAACTTCAGTAATAATGGTCCAGTATTCATTCCAAATACACAAAATGGCTCTCCCTTTCTGTAATGCTGCAGTCATATTTCATTTGTGTATATTGTAGATTAGCAACATGATAGTTGTGGTATTAAGAAATTGTTTCGGTCACGTGGGAATGTGAAGTGTGTTATGGTCGGACAAAGCCAAGGTTGAAGTTTTTGATCATACAGTAATTGTAAACACAGCACAGCTCATTTCCAAAACAACACTATACCCACAGTGAAGCATGGGTGGTTAAGCATCATCCTTTAGGGCTATTTTCCTTCAGCTGGAACTTTATCAAGGTGGAGAGAATCAAAACAGGTACACCCAACACCCGTGGGGTAATCTGAAGAGGGCTGTGCACAAAGTGACGCCCTTTCAATCTGACAGATTTGGAACATTTTTGCACAGAAGAGTGGTCAAAATTGCCACATCAAGATATGCCGCAGACCTCTATCCAAAGAAACTGAATGCTGCAATAAAAGTCAAAGGTGCTGCAACAAAATCTCAGTTTGAGGGTAAGCATATTTAGAAACCAGGTTATAGTCATTATCATCCTACCCCCCCCCCCTTTTTAAATTCATTTTATTCATACAATAGAGTTGTACAGGTTATAAATCACATAAAATGATTTATCTTGGTTGCATTTTTTTATCTTACAAAAATCTAGCATGTGAACAAGGGTGTGTGGACTTTATATCTCTCAACCTCTTCCTGATACGGAATGTGGTACGTTGGATTTTTTTTTTTTGTACTTGGATCAAATAACACAAGTCTGACATCTATAAGAACATTCCTGATGTTCCACTCAACAAAATGATGATTGGGAATGTGTGTAATTGATTCCAAATCAACAAATCACAGTTCGACCAGCATCTCAGATCAGCAAATTGGGTTAGACCCAAGAGGCTGTGTTATGTGTTTGTCCCCCACACAATATTTTATTGCACTGTACAGTCACTACCCACGTAAGGCTCGGGTACACAAGCACAATCTGCTTAGATTACAAATCAGGAGCCATAACACAGAGAGGCAGACACTTCATTCATGCAGTGAGGTAAATTAAATCCTCACTGCAGCAAATTTTATGCATAAAAATTTGTAATAAACAAAACAAACAAAGAACCAACAAAAACAAATACAATAGCAGTATTAAGGGGAGATTGAAATAAATCATAAAACAAATTTAGATGTTGCTGTATATTGAGCTGCAGTAATATTTGTAAAATTTGTGCTAAGTAAGAAGTATATTATTGACAAGTGAAAACTAATAACATTAATGAATTATAATGCACTCAGACATTAAAATAAAGAAAATGTAACTCTGACCACGTCACAGATAATCATCTTTTGGGATAAAAGCGTACTAATGACACTGTCAGTTCGGCGTTAATTTAACATGCTCATTACTGTGGGTGAAGTCTGCGACGGTGGCAACATTTTCAACAGAGCCTCCTGCTTTTGGGTTTTTTTTTGTACAAGACAACACTGCCCCTTCGTGGAATTTTAATGCATACAAGGAAAACAACAGGATTGCAGTCAAAAATAAAATGAAAAATATCTCCAGACGGCCAATAATGGATGACGAACTGTCATTTTATTACCACAGTTAATAAAACGTTCATTTCCATACATTAAAAATAATAGCAAACACATCAAAGTAGTGAATGCTGTTGAGGCGTCAGGTGACCTGTATATGATACAAAATATTTTTCAAATATTGATTAATCAATAAATACCTTTATTTCTCACGTGAGAG